ACTGAAGGTGGTGACTGTGTAGTTCTGACGTCAACTTTTTACGGAAGTCACAACGGTTCGTCAAAAATCACAGCTACTTTATGCAGGCTGTGTGAATTTGACTGTGGACTGACTGTTTTGAAACTTATATAGTAGTTACATAGCACCTAGACCTCAGTTATCGTGAAAAAAGCCAGGAAATTTCAGTTTTGACAATATGGGACCTTTAAGGTAAAATGATAAAAAAAAGCTGTTAAACCAGAGACAGGGAAAAGACAGAAATTGACAATAATATGCAATATAGATGGATGAGTAAGCCTAGTGTCCTGCCTTTGTAGCTTGAAGACACACAGAAGGAACAGATCAAACATGAAGTAGAATGCAATTTTTTTTAGAGTGCATGTAAAAAAAGACCAACGCTGCTTCCCAGTTCGCCTACCTATATTATGCTCTAAAACTGTCATTTTGTGAAGAAAAAGTATGTGCTTTGGGACATACTATCACGTCATAAAATTTCATTTTAACAGCCAATCTGTCGCATTGTTACACACATCCTGTTAGTGTAAACTGGCCTGTCAATCATCTTGTCACAGGTTACATCCTCTGTACCTTGATCTTCCAGTCGTAGAACTTTCATGCAGAGAACTCACCCTTTTTTTAAAAGTTAATGGCCAAATGTATCTATAAAAAGTTCACAATGTTATTGCAGATGAAATATAACACGGATTACATTAAATAAATATCACGTGAAATGTTGATTATTATCACTCAAACATCTTTATCTTAAAGTCCGCGTAAAAGTAAAGTAAGTAAATAAAGTCAGTTTTAATTTAATGCCGACTTTAACTTCTTTACCGTCAGTCTTGCATATCTGCCATTTTTGTAGTTTTTAATACCTTTTTTTCCCTCATGTTTGTAGTTCTAAAGCAAATTCTCCACCAAGATGCAATGGGTTAGAGAGTGCACGGATTTACACTTTGAATTTTCACTGTAAATAGTAAACCATCCAAGTAACTTTGGGATAGTCACTTCAACATACCATGATTGGAGACACACTAATTCTAATTTCAAATACTATTTAGGACAGCTAGTGTGCGAATTGGGATGCAGCACAACTGCAGTTCTGTATGCACATATCACAGTGACATCATCTTAGTCAGTTACATTTGGAATGCTGAACATTTGATCAACATAAAGATGTGTTCATGCCATGTTGGAGTTAATTATGAGATTCTGACTTGTACTGTAAGAAACATTCACATCCTCATACAACTTGTAATTGCAACTTGTAAATTCTTAACATTCAAAATGGCAGCAAATTCAGCAGGTAAATGTAGTTATGTAGTTATCTCTTACTATTTCTTATATCTCTTATAAATTCCAGTAATTGACTAAATGTAAATGCAAGACTAATCTGAAAATAAATGAAAGACACAATACAGTTTAATGTAGCTAGATCAGAGTTGGACAACTAATACCAAATTTGCTGCTAAATAATCTAAATAAAAGTTTACTAATAAGGTATTTGCATAACAACTGTTACTTGTTTTATTTGGGTTTTGTCTATCGATTGTTTGATTTACACAGATTCATGTTGCCGTTAATAGAGTTGAAATAGAACACATTATTCCGAGGACATGAAATGCTCTAGTATAGTAATTACTGTAATTACAACATGGTGTGAATGCACCATAAATCAATAAGACAACTGAATTAAATTTTTAAACTAATTTAAATTTACAATAAACAAAAAGATTATATGAAGGGCCGACAGTAATTCACAGCGACAATCATTGAATATATTTAAGTGCTGTCAACATAAGAGTTTTCCAAGGCTATAGTGTTTAACAAAATATATATTTTTTCCTAACTTATCATCCATTATAAGTAGTGGGAGTTTTGGATAAAGTCTCAAAAATTACTGATACGTTTTCAATGGAATATATCATATTCCATTGAATATGATATTCCATATGAAATTATGAAGAAAATAATTTACAAAACAAATAAAGCAAGCAGAAATAACTGCAGAAATGTGTGTAGAAGAATGAGAAGATAAAATATTACTACAGTGCTCGTTGTGCAAGCACTGTAATCAAACTGTCACTCATTACAGAAATGAAGAGGTTAGCCAATCACAACAGAGGTCGTTTACATAATTCTTACAGCTACAATAGCAAAAACAGCCTGATTTATTCAAAGGGATAGAAAGAAATTCAAATGTAGTCGTGCAAAACTAAAGTATGACTATTTTTGGTGCAATAAACTAACATTAAGTACAACTCAGGAAACAAAGGGAGGTAAAAGGGAAGTGAACAATGTAAAGGAGATGAGGTAAGGTGAGGTGATGGAAGAAGGTTTACCTTGGTATTCCTTTGTAAAGCTGGAGGATGGAAGGATGGGGTGAGCGATGGCAGGATGAGAGTTGGGAGGGACAGACACTACAAGGGAATGGATTTACAACAGGGTTATTTACTAACTACTGCAGCTACATACAAGCACATGCAAGGAAAAACACTAGCAAAGGGTCTATCAGTGTGTGAGTGAGTGTACAAGTGTGTGAGCAAGAGATAAACCGTGATGTTCTTGAATTACACCCCTCTGCCAGGGTCAAGGGTCTCTTTGCGGGTAACATCTCCAGCCAGCAGGGTGCAGCAGCTTCCTGTTCCACCCTTTCATCTCTCACCACTGCAAAATACTGCAGTTACCGTGCCCCCCGGGCTCAGCTCTCTCTCTCACTGTAATCTTCAATCCCTCCATCCCAAAGATCATCAATCTTACTGCTCTGCTCACCATCCTCCACACCTCTAATATAAGCACTAGCCTCATCGCTCTTTTTCGCCCCATCTCGTTCCTGTTGCTGCCTCGCAGCTCTCTCCTCCATCTGCATATGGGTCTACAGTTTTTTATGCAACAAAGAGCAGCAACACAGTATTCGTTTGCGTATGTGCGTGGGCTTCAAAACTCGGAGGGATTAACAGCTTGGTACCAGACCGATCAATAACGGACGCAGATCAATATCCCAAGACCACCATGACTCTTTAGAAAGAGGAAGGCAGCTAATCATCCCTCTCATTCCTCTCCTCTCAATACCTCTCATCTTTCTCTGTGGCAAAACTTCTATTTTGAACACAACAGTTCAGATATTTAAAGGTATAGTTTCCTCAAAAACAATTCTTAAATGACCCAAAAATGTGAATTCTGTCATCATTTACTAGGGATGTAACGATTCACTCAACTCACGATTCGATGCGATTCACGATTTTGATTTCACGATTCGATTTTCTCATGATTTGTTTTTAACAAAATGAGATTGGAGACATTATACAGTAAATGAAAAGGTGCCGTTTTATTAGGCTATTGCTGCACGTTTCTTTGTGAAATTGAAATATAACAAAACTAAATTGAAATTTTAAAACAAACCCCAAATCAAACAAGTAAGTTACACAAATAAAATAAATCTCTTAATATGAACAAACTAAGGCTTTGTCTGTGCTCTTTCCATTTAAAATTAGAGGCAACCACTGGATTTTAATCATGATCCAAACAAAGATGCAGCATATATGCAGCATGAGTAGTTTTTAATCTAAATTACACTGTATAATTTGGAAATTTGAAGCAAAAATAGAATGGTCTGACTTTAGTTTTGTGAAACTATAAAACATATCTGAACAAAACAGCAGATGAGCTAAATGAGACACAGATTCACTCTCTGACAGCAGGTGGCGCTTATGAACAGCAATGATACAGTGTTTCCAGGGTCACCGCTGTAAACAAAGCAGAGCTGCGCTTATGAACACTACTTTAATATGCATTGTTCAGAGGCAAGATGAAAAGAAAATACCACGTAAACTTCTCTAAAGATAGTCAGTTCCCCTCAGAGATGCATTCATATAAACTCCTACTCGAATTGTATCGCGATTTGTTTGGCATCTCAACCGATTTGAATAGTCACATATTTGAATCGATTTTCGACCGGCTCGTGGTTAATCATTACATCCCTATCATTTACTCACCCTCATGTCAATCCAAACCTTTATTTTATGACATTTATACTTTAGAACATAAGTGGAGACATTCGTCAGAACATAAACAAGGACTGGCACAAAAGGACCATAAGAGTTTCATAAACATTGACCATATAACTTGTTCCATGTCTTCTATAGCCTTACTATTGATTTGTGTAAGATACTAACCAAATTAACACTAGGATTAATTGATATCACTGTGAACCACTCTGACTGGATCATTGAGTTAGTTGAACTCGATAACTGAATCCATTCCATTTGGAAAACAAAATCAGTTAGACAATTTTGTGAACCAGTATAACCAATTCACTGAAAAGATCCACAGATCAAAAATAATTTGTTCACAAATCAAAAATGCCTACTTCTCGCATTATCACAATGCGAAAAAAAGAAAGAAAAAAGTAATGAAAAAGTAGTGAATAACGAATTTGGTGTGGGTTGTTTCTTGCATAAAGACTGCATATCGCTTTAGAAGGCTTGGAGTATAGCACACAAATCATGTGGATGACTTTTGTTATTTTATGGGGCTTTTGGATCCTTTTTAACCTTGAACGCTTCAGTCCCAATTTATTGTAATTGCATGGAAAGTGGCAGTCAAATTTTTTCCCTTTTGTGCTCTACAGAAGAAAAAGAAACACAGGTTTGGAATGGCATATGGGTGAGTAAATAATGACCGAATTTTGGTTTTGGTTGCCATATTCTGTATTTAGATCCTTTTTTCTTATTACATTTCCTGTCCCTCTTTCTTTTCTCCTCTCTTTTCAGTGCTCCCACTTTCTGATTCATTACATTTCTCTGTTTTTCCTGCACTTTTCCCAAACCCGATCATTTTAAAGGCGTTTCTTCTTTCCTGCTTCCTGCACATCATTACGGCTCAGGCTGGAAGCTGATAAACATTTCATCACACAGATGTTTGGGTGAGTCACGTCAGCAATGTTGTTCTCTGCGTTTTTGGGACTCTGGGTTTTGTGCCACATTATAGCACCAAAGAAAGAGAGAGTGGCAGATCTTCAAGTTGTTCTAATTCTCTCTGTATATGGAGTCTGTAAATCCCACAGTCTCTCACCTCTCCCCTCTCTGCTCAAAGGCCAAGTCTCTGTCGTCAACTCGACACACTCCTCGATTCGCCACGCTTAATATTCCTGTCATGACTATCCAAAGGTAAAAATATGACATTTTCAATTACTATATCCCCTCTTGCTCATGCTTTCTTCTCCTTTTCCTGAGTTTCACTTCATTAATTAAGTGCCCATGTTGTTTCTTCCAATTAGAGGCACAGCTCATTACTGTGCTACATTTTTTTCCTCTCTCCTGCAAGCAACGTTGGTTCTCCTTATCTTTTTCTCCATCCATCCTTTCACTCATTTCAATCTCAGTGGCTCTCTGAGGCTGTTCAATTGTAATGGTTTTTATTGGCAGCAAGGTCCATCATGGTACATCAAGTACTGCTGCTGTTTTACATAAGCATGTCTCCAGGGGACTATCCTTTGACCGTTTGACCACTGGACAAGCTGCATATGTGGAGGTGAGGAGTACACATATTCAAATTTGCTTTTCTGTGTTCTCAGTTAATGGGTTTTCTACCTTCTAATCTTGAATCTAGCACTGAGACACCTTTTTGCATTTATGTATTTTCATTAAAGCATTATTTAGCATGTTTTAGACATTTTCCCTCATAGAGACTTTTGGCTGCTGCCCACAATGTAGGTGATTTCAGATTTAACAGATCTTGTGTAGGCAAAACCTGAACCCACACAGATACATTCCAACAAATATAAAAAGTAGTTACACATTAAAATGTTTCTTAAGTGGGTTTGGCAAAAAAGTGTGTACCAAATATATATGCAAATATTTCCAGACAGACAGAGATAAAGTAGCACAGACAGGCGTACCTGTTGAGCCATGTGGGAAATACACACTTGCATATCAGTCAGCGTAAATTGCAAAATTTCTGAAAAAACTAAATCTCCTCCTCCTCTGTCCTTTCGTCTTTCCTGACTCATTTTGTCTTTCTCTCACCCTCCTCCAGGTTATAATCATCATTCTGTTCGTATTGGCTGTAATTCCTCATTTTGCACTTCATGGCCACTTTAGACATAAAATAAATCAGTGAGAAAAAGCAGCAAGATATTGAGATCAGGCCTCCTCCACCCTCTCGTGTCACTGTGACTGCTGACTCATCATCTCAATAGTTCTCCCTCACCCTCTATCAGCCTTCAGCAGTCAGCCATTTCTCTCTTTTTAGTTGCACTGAGCATGGGATTTCCAGCGGATGAAGCCTAAATACGCTGATACCGCTGAGAGTTAACACCAAATCTTGTTCATTTACTCCCACACAAACACATTAAATGGGAAGGTTGGCGTTCTGTGTAGGAGAGCAACGAAAGAAAGAAAAAGGAAGACTGGATGAAAGGAAGGCAGGTAGGAAGAAAGGAAGTAAGGAAGGATAGAAGAAAAGAAGAAACAAAGAAAAAAGGAACATAGAAGGGGTGGAAAAGGCAGGAAAGAAGAGAGGGAGGAGGGAAAGAATAAAGCAAAGATTAAAGGAAGGAAGGAAGGAAGGAAGGAAAGAAAGAAATAAGGAAGAATGGAAGGTGAAGAGAATTGAAGAAAGGAAAGAATAAGTAACTAAAGGAATAAAGGAATATGAATATGAAGAAAAGAAAAAAATGGAAGGAAGGATAAAAAGGGGAAAAGAAGGGGTGGAACAAAGGAAGTATTAAACCTAAGGAAGAAAATGAGACATGAATGAAGGAGGGAAGGATGAAAGGATGAAAACAAAGAAAGGAGTAAATGAATGAAGGAAAGAAAAAATGGAGGAAGAATGTATGAAAAGGAGAAAGGGCAAAAGAAGAAAGAAAGAAAGAAAAAGGAAGAAAACTTAGAAAAAATAGAGGGAAAGGAGAAAAATGAAGGAAGGAACAAAGGCGGAAGGAAGAAGGAACAAAGCAATTAATAAAGTAAGGAAGAAAAGAAAAATTGGAAAGGTGGATGAAAAGAAGAAACAAAGGGAGGAGGAAATGAAGGAAGATAAAAAAAGGAAGAAAGAAAGAAAGAAAGAAAGAAAGGGCAAAAGAAGAAAGAAAGAAAGAAAGAAAGAAAGAAGGAATGAAATTTAGAAAAAAATAGAGGGAAAGGAGAAAAATTAAGGAAGGAACAAAGGCAGAAGGAAGAAGGAACAAAGCAATTAATAAAGTAAGGAAGAAAAGAAAAATTGGAAAGGTGGATGAAAAGAAGAAACAAAGGGAGGAGGAAATGAAGGAAGATAAAAAAACTAAGGAAGAATGGAAGGATGGATGGATGGAAGGAAGGAGGGAACAAATAAAAGGGGGAAGTAAGGAAGGATGGAATGAATAAAGGAAGAAAAGAAGGAAGAAGTAAATGAGGGAGGAAGGAAGGAAGAATAAACAGGCAGAGAAAGGGATTCCTGGGACATTTTCTAAAGTGCAGAGGTGTTTCAAAGCTAAGAGGCTCACCTACACAGAACCGCGGATAGAACGAGTGGAAGAGAGAGGGAGCGAAGGATAGAAGCGGGATGAAAGATGACATTCCCACCCACCTGCGCTCTCCGAGCTGCCTCGTTAAGGTGCGTATTTGATGGCTGTCGTTACAATGCAAAAAAAGGAGGAAAAAAGAGAAAGAAAGGAGGAAGACCTCAGGGGATCTCATTTCTTGCACTCTTTCAAAATACATCATACATCCTGCTGGTCTACAAACACAGCTGGAAGGTGCAGTACCCTGTACAGCCACAGGGGGCAGACCTGGGCGAGAGGGGGAGGACTAAAAAAAACACACACCATGGTGGGAGAACAAGACATTCAAAGCCACAGTAAACCACCTCTGTAGCTATAAAGAAACCACGCTGTTCTTGAATGGAAAAGAAAGTGTAGGTGTTCGTGCGTATACATATGGAAATGTTTTGTAATTCTGAGAGGTGTGAAAACAGGTTTCCTACGAAAGCCTACAGACTTTGACATGCAAAAACGTGGACTGTACTGAGTAGTTTAGAAGGGGTTAGGGTTAATGTCATGTGACCAGGGACATTCGTTTTCTTACCATACACCAGCAGTGTGTAGTGGTCGGCTGCACGGCCGTAATTATTATGGGCCTGACAGAGGTAGGTGCCGTTGTGTGATTGGCTGAGGCGAGACATTTGGAGAATGTTGCCCGTTTTCTCCGCCCTCTCAGGAAGAGTGTCGTTCACTCGTGACCACTGGATGTCACGTGGTCTAGAAAAAAAGACAGCAAAAAACACATTAAGCAATCAAGAATTTATCAAAGGAGCAAGGCATTAAAAGAAAAGTTTAAAAAACAAATCTCCAAATAATTAGGCACCAGGGACGAAAGAGAATAGAAATCAGATAATATAAAAAAAAAAGATGAAAAAGAGATAAAAGGATTTGGGGGAGGAAAAAAATACATTTCTTAATCAGTATTTTTGTTGGGTAAAAAATGTAAACAGCCTTAAAACAAATGATTTATATAAATGCATATTTATCTGAAATAAAGTTATCTGTTATTTGTGTATGATAAGATTTGTTTTCAGAGAGTATGTTAAATTAATTAATTATTGTTTATTATATTTATAAACCCCACTGATTTAAAAAAAATCTCTGGCGAGCTTCTGAAGTATGCATCTAATGGACACATTTCTAACCCATCCTCAGGGAGAGGATTTGTGAATGGCAGTGAAGCGATGCAACTGACATTATTAGGTCACATGACAACAACAACATAATGCAGTACATCTGGATTACATTCATACTACACACATTAAAACAATGTACTTTATAATGGTTGCAAATGAATTACTTATTAAAAAAAGTAGCTACTCAAAAGTATTACAGTTTTGGACTTTTAGCCATTCACTTGTCTCTTTCCTAAATGTTTCTGAACGAATCAGTTGAAAGAATGATTCAATGACTCACTCATAAAGAGCCATTTGTTTAATTTGTGAACAAACACACAGACACATATATACATGGGTCAAAGACAAAAAGGGGTTTTCAAGCATCAAAACAACTAAAAATTTAATGCAACTTTAAATTGTTTCCTCAAACATTAGAATGTGTCCTGTTCAATTTTTTCTTTTTGAGCAAAAAAACAAACAAACATACAAAAAAAGACTATCTATCATACATTTTTACCATGATTTACAGAAGACACCCACTACAATGTCATTAAGTGTTTAAAAAAAAGTTCATATACCAAAAAGCTTGTCAGGCATATCTAGAACCAGAATCATTATATGACATTGAAAGACTCTATTTAAGGATCACAGTGCAGCCCCTAAGAACTAATTAACTGTAATTTTGAATATTTACCAGCCTTTGCCACTATCCTTCAAAACACTAGGTTTTACCACTGATCTATATAATGAATGGATTGCTCGAGTTCTAAACAGCCAAAACCTTGACCTAAAATCACCAGATTTGAAGCGTATCAGTCACACAGGATTAGTTTTTATGTTATGTGTATGTAAATTAATTGTTACTTCAGATGTTATCTGCAATGTTTATGGTCTTTTCGGGCAGGATAAGCGATATATTGAAATCGTTTAGGTGGGTGTGTCAGCTGCATATTTGCCGGCACAGGTAACTGATCCAACACAAAATATATTTCTTTATGTACATAATTATGCAGGAAATATTAAACATGGACATATATCTGGTATTAGTATCAGATATGGATTTGGATATACAACAACTATTACAATACAAGCATGTGTTAATATTGCTCTATATTGCATTGAAAGTTTACCATGCATCCTTGGAAATAAAGCTTCATGTCTTTAAGTCCGTATCATATGTAGTCAGCGCTATTTCTTTGAATAAGTTATGATGTGTGTATTTTTTATGTCCTGATGGAGCAACATTTCAGACTCTTCAAGATCGTGCAAATTCTTCGGCATTTTACTAGCATTACAGTTTCCATAGGAGTAAAATATTATGTATGTTTAATTAATTATTAATTTAACCAAGGTTTAAATCATTAACTGCTTCAAAATGCATGCTGTTAACGAAATCATTGTTGAAACCTTTGCAGTTGGCCTATTGTACGAATAAAAACAATAAAACAACATGATTACATAAACAGTGAATGTACAAGGTGAATGACGTTTGCAAAGCACAAATCTTTATTCAAATTTTGTGAGCACTTTGTCATTTGAAATGCATATATCCATTCTTGATATTTTTCAAAGAAGAGAGAAGTAGAGAAGAGAGGATAGTCCTAGCAGATAAAATCAGCCGGACAGAGACAAAAGAGCATGAAAGGAGGAGATTACCTAACACACACACACACACACACACACACGCACGCACACAAGTTGGTATAGGTGGTTTATGTTTTTAAAGCCTTTTGAATTACGAGGACACAGGAAAATGTCCTCATAAACCACCTTTACATTGTAATACCTATATCATACCCATATCATTAAACAAATCTGTGTCCTCATAAACCACCCAAGCCGGTGCATACACACACACACACACACACGCACGCACGCACACAAGTTGGTATAGGTGGTTTATGTTTTTAAAGCCTTTTGAATTACGAGGACACAGGAAAATGTCCTCATAAACCACCTTTACATTGTAATACCTATATCATACCCATATCATTAAACAAATCTGTGTCCTCATAAACCACCCAAGCCGGTGCATACACACACATACATACACAAACAGCTGTGAGGTGATCCACAGCAGAAGGATATACATGGAAACTGTTTGGCAAAAAGCCTGAGGCTTCAGTTCTGAGCCCACCGCCTGTGAAACGCCTCATCCCTCATCCACCCTGGCTGGAAGACAAGGCTACGTCATCACTCACCGTAATCCCACAGGACACGTTTAATTACAGCCCTCACAGGATTCAGCGTACAGTACCACACACACACATGCTCTCACATACATATGAGCACAAATGCAGAGGATGAGCCAGCTAGAGTGCCGAGGAATAATAAAAACACCCCTCCAACAAATGCAGACTGTGTTTAATTGGTGATTAATGTCGGATGAACATGATCGTAATGGCTTTATAACCAAGCAACACGACGCAGTGTACTGTGAGTTCAGTTACTGTAGAGCGACATCTGGATCCATCTCTCATCCCTCCCATCAATACACTCATTTATCTCAACCTATCCAGAGAGCGGTCCCTCTGTGGGTGGGCAGTCTGTTCTCATTTCTCATCACTGCATTCTGTAATCTTCAAACATGCCCCTACAATTAAACATTTACACATTTCACACTCTCTTCCCCCTACCGTATAAATCACGTAGCCTTTCATTTCTCTTTCCTATCTAAAACTCCTCTGAGCCCATCTTTCTTTCCTTCCCTCACTCTGTCATTTCCCCATTTCAGCGTAAAATGAGTGGCAGCTCAAGCGTCCTCTCTATCTCTCCATCTTTCATTTCTGTAGCGGTCCCTTACGAGGCTCTGGAGAGGCTTAATGGCTTTCTGCTCACAGCCTCTTGGGGAGAAGAGGCTCAGTGACCACGGGCGAGCCGCAGAAAAATGATAGACTGAGACAAACATGCCTTCTGAAGGAAGAAAGTGTCTGTGCTCACTGTGACACTGCTGAGGTTGACAGAGGGACACTTTCTCCTTCAATATAAGACGTTTAGTGAGGTAAAAGAGAAATATCAAAGAGAAAAACTCTGAAACTTCATTACACATTTACCAAAATTGGCTAAAAAAAGGTCAAATGCTGGTGAAGAATTGTTTTTCATTTAAATGTTCATTAATGTCTTTTTTAATTGTTCACTTTATCCTGTTTTATTTTATTGTATACTGTTATTATTTTTATTATAACTATAACCACTGTTATACTTTATTGGAGCTGGATTGAGATGATCCTCTTTAAGCATTTTGGAGTGTTAGAAGATAAAGCTTCTAGCTTCAGTTTAAAGCTGTTCTTGTGGGACCAGTTCAGATGATTCGTTTTTAAAGCACATGTCGAAACAGAAATTCACGCGCGCTTTCACATCCATCAAAATCTCCCACACGCAACCTGACATATACATTTCCAAAGAAAAGCACACATGCTCTTGTACACTCACAGTGGGTTGCCGGTAACGGAGCAGGTGAGACTGAGGGAGTCTCCCTCTCGGAGGATGCCCTGAGGGGGAATGATTTTCACCGTAGGAGCAACTGCAGAGATAAAGAGAAGGATAGAGAGAGGGAATAAAACAGGAAAAGAGCTCCGTCACAAAGTCTAGTCAACACATACTGTGTTCAATTGCAGTATCCTGACTAAAATGGAACCTCATAAGTTACAACTTTGGAACAAAATTGCTCACTCACAACTAAATGTTGCTCTGGACTCAGTTGATTTTAATACAGCCAATGTGAATATAATAATATAATAATAATAATAATAATAAATAAACACATAATTTCAATATTTTTTTCTTAAATACATTTTTTATTATTATTTCAAGTTTATTTATGATCTATTTATTATTTACAACAATTTTTATGAACTATTATTCAAAGGTTTGGGATACTGTAAGTAAAATCTTATTTTTCATAAGAAATATTAATAAGAAAGCCATCACAGCAATAAATTGCATTTCTAAATATATAAAAAAATGTAACATTTAAATTGTAATAATATTTCACAATATTATCATTTTCACTGTATTTTTGATAAACACAACCTGGGAGAAGCTTATGCTTCTTTCAAAAAACAAACAAACAAAAACTTTTGAATGGTAGTTTAATACTGTATGAAATGTATTTGCATAAAAATGCTCTTAAAGTGCTGCCTACGGATGCAGCTCACTAAGTTTTGGAACAGAGCAAGTGTCTCAACACATTTCTAGCAGGTGTCTGATTTAAACTCATTGTGGGTACCAACAGTAATACACTAAAATTCATTTGAACTCGATTGTCTTTTTACAGAGTAAAGCCCTTCCGACTGTTACAGCAACTTTATGTGAGAAGTCCTTGTATAAAGTTCATATTAGATATTTTTATAGGTTGAAATCTTTCCACAGCATTACATTTCGAGTGTTTCTGTTAATACTGTGGTGTGATGTTTAATGGGATACTGTTGTCTTCTCGTCCTTTATCATCACAGGCAAGATGTAACACAAACAAACAAACCTTGTTAGAGGCTTGCCAAGTGAACATGTTTAAACAGATGGTGCTTCAGCGAGCTAATAACAACCGTTAATCAGTCTAATATGGCGGTAGTCATGGAAACGTGACGGCATTGTTGGCTCACAGTGAACGTCCAGGCTGTAGTGACGAACTCGCTTCTGCCCCACGAGTGCCGGGTGAGACGCCTCACAGCTCAGCGCCGCTCCGTTATCTTTCCTCTCCACAGGGATACGGATAGTGTTGGAAACACTCACGGTCTTGCCGTTCTCCTGCTGAGAGATCACACCTGAACGAAGAGAGAGGGATGGAAGGAGAAGTCAGTTTGCTCAAACTTTAACAATGTGTGTTCACATTTCAGCCAGACATTATTTGCATACCTTTCGTACAAAGGATTGCACGCTCGCCCTCATTACTTCAAACAGTATGAATTTGATGCACTGAGCAACACACCTTACTCACATTGATTTCACAACCACAGAACAGGCTCTATTATCCTTCTGAGACTATTAAGTTTTAATTTGATGATAAAAAAAACGAAATGACAAGGGGCGAGTGAAGGGCAGTAATTGGATGATGAAACAGACAGAGGGAAGTTAGGTCGATAGAGAGTGGGGTCAAACAGAGTTGACATATTTATGAAGGATATTTATGAGGATTACCGTAATTATGGGCTACCAACTTTGGTCTTTGTCAAACTCATATTTACCAGACAGTACCAATAACTTGACTATTGCAATGCCAGATAAAAACAATCAGAATGGCAGTGGCAAAAATTAATGATCTTTAGCCATTTTTTGATATGTAATTTTATACTTGCTTTGTGTTTTATTATGAATTTTTCATTTTGAACAATGTAGCAATCGAGTATTGTGGTGTCATTAACATCAAAGCCAAAAATAGATCCTCTTTTGTGTTATGTGTACTGCTATAGAAACAATTATTTCTGAGTTTGAAGACATAAACAGCTCAGAGAAGATTCTAAAACAACTTTACAATAAGGCTCTATTATATTAAGTATCATTAACTCATTAACTAAAAATAAACAGTGTCACGGGGATGACAAAATCTGGAAAAGTGTTCGCATTTTTACACTTTCGGTTCCATCATAACAAAGTCAATGTTTTTTTTATGGGTTTTAAGTTAAATGCCTAAAATAAGGTCTGTGGTTAACATGAGCTCAAGATATTTTCATGCTTTATTCTAAACATGAAATACATCAGTAATATCTAATTGTGATTTTGTGTGGCTTTTACTTTTATTTATAGCTGTTTTAAACTATTTCTAGCTTACATTTGGCTTATATTTAGCCTTCAAAATTCATGAAAGTTGTCATGATGAACAAAAAGTATGAACCATAAACATTTATGTGTCACAGAGTTTATTTTTTGCAATAATCTAGAAGCCAATGGAAAAACTAGGAAACTAGGCTGATGCTAACTTGAAAGTTTGCCTAAAAATACATAACCATTGGAGCACTCTAACATATAAATTAAGAAATGCTGTGAAAATGTAATGTTAATTTATAAATATAGCTTTGTTTATTGTTATATCATGCTTGATCATTATTCATTAAGTAATGTTAATGTTTTAACTAATCACCCTAGGTTAATATTAATTTAAAAATAAAGCATTGTTTATTGATGAGGTTTGTTTGTAATTTAAGCAATGTAACTGTTTTGATTTGAAATGTTCAAAATGTACACTAGTGTTCAAAGGTTTGGGGTCGGTAAGATTTTTTGGTAACACTTTCTATGAAGCCTGTATTTAAAATACATTAAAAGAGTATTCTTAAGGCATTATAATGAATGCATAATGTATAATGGATTATATTTCCCATAGTTATAATGTATTATAAGTATCATATCCTGCCATTGTTAACTTGTTACTTTACTTAAAGCAGACAAAGACCACTTATAAATACCAACAACAACAACAGCTATATTAATAAAAAATGTTTCTTAAACAGCCATAAGATCAGATATCTGATGAATGTGTAATATGGCACATTTGATTTTAACTATATTTATTGTAATATCAATAAGATACTGTACAGATCTTAAATAAATACTGTCAAGATATGAGACTTATAATCCATTATAAATTAAGTGGATTTAACATGGCGTTTATTGCAAGTTATAAATAATCATACTTTCATAGAAAGTGTTACCGATTTTTTAAAATAATAATAATAATATTTAATAATATTACTGTTTTTACTGTATTTTTGATCAAATAAATGCAGCCTTGGTGAGCATACAAACTTCTTTCCAAAACATTAAGCCTAGATTACTAAATGCTGTAAAAGTACTGTTAGTAGTGCATTCACTAAATTGAACATTTTAAAGTGTTATCCAATCTCAGAGTTACCATCTCACAATAAAATGACATAAACGCAGCATTGGTGTAACCACACGGGCCAGTTTTTTAATGTGTGTGTCACTCCGCTTGTCTGTGTTAATGGCATTCCAGACCAGAATATGGAAGTGGCTTTGTGGAGTTTTTAGTCTGTCATTTTTCCAGACAAGCTGTCAGCCTGTGTGTTGTCTGAAACACGTTACCTGACATAAACTTGTTTATATAACTCTTACTTGTGTGATATTGCTTAAATAACCTTGATCAGGCAGACATTTAAATTATGTTTACTGAAGCGGAACAGCGGTGGGCTCAGAAGTCTAAATTCAAACTGAGCCCTGTCTTACTGAACCTGTCGCAGACAGACAGACACTTGTGCTCACAGCTTTATATTTCAACAACATTGATAGCACGCCAAGCCTAGAAACTCACCCTATACTTTCCTTGCCTCTTTTTTCCCTGTCTCTGTGTCTTTGTCATTTTCATTCTCTGTGTTTTCCCCTTATTTGGAGCCCAAAACAAAAAGATAGAGCAAATATGATGGAAGTGAGAAAAAAAGAGGAGAGAAAGCAGGAAAATGAGGTAGAGTTGACAGAAAAGGAAGAAAGGCACAGATTGGGGCCGCACCTGGATCCAGTTCTGTGGGGGGGGTGTATGTGGCAAAAAAACGTTCATCTGCACACATCCGAAGAGACCCAGATGGACAGATGCATTTGAAATTCGATAGAGTGACATAAAGCAATACAGGGGAAAATGTGCCAATGAGCAAACACATGGGGGAGAGGAGCAAAGCGTATAGTCCTGGCTGTCAGAGATTAGTTGAAATGCATGACATTTACCGTGAAGACAGAGGGTCTGACAAAGAGACAAAGCAAATATGCACAATATGCACAAATGTGAAGGATTTTTAAGAAAAGCTGACTCTTTTGTGTTTGCATATGTGCTTATATGTGTCTGTCATGTTTGTAAGCGCATGTATAATATATAAATGTGACTTTTAAATTAAACTCACCTGCGATTTCTCGGCGGTCTCGAACCCAGCGCAGTGTGGCTGGTGGTTTGCTCCGCGGGGACATGCATGTGAGTTCCACCTCTCCGCCCTCCACTGCCTCTGTCTTCACCTCCACTGTAGGGACCTCTGGGGGCACCACCACCGACAGCGTCGCCACCTGGTGGTGTGTGTCATCGGTGTAGAGCTGACAGAAGTAGCCGCCCTCGTCAGATACACTTACATTAGTCAATGTGATCCGCACCAGGCGCTGCGTGAAAAGAACCATCTGAAAACGGTCGTCTTTCAGTGCTAGAAGAGAGAGAGTAAGGATAAAGGAACCCCAGGATAAGCAAGTTCAAATTAAATTAAAATTGAGCCTATTTGCTTTCTAAATGCATCCTTGTAGTCTTATTTTGAGCAATTTCACTGGTGCATGTTATTGCAAAGAAGAAAATGTGTCTTTTAAATTTTTAATCAAAATGGAATGACTTTCTCTTTCTCTGAAATGACTTCCCTTTTCCACTGACGTCCAAATAGGCATTTAGGCATTGTTTTAGCAATCCTATTTCGAGTTTTGCTTCATTCTGGTTTATAACGCCTTCTTTTCACAATGATTAAAATCAAGTCAAGCCCATTACGTAAGTAAAATGGGTTGTGGTTGGCAATTCACATTAACTTAAAGTAACAAAAGTATAAGTAAAAGTAAAGTCACAGTAAAGGCATAATATGTTTATATTAGAATGATTTCTGAAGGATAATGTGACACTGAAGACTGGAGAAATTACTGCGGAAAATTCAGCTTTGTCATCACAGGAATAAATTACATTTTAAAATATACTATAATAGAAAACAAGTATTTTAAATTGTAATAATATTTCATATTATGACTGTTTTTTTTACTGTCTTTTTAATTCAATAAATGCAACCTTGGTAAGCATAAGAGATTTCAATCATTAACATTAAAATTTTTGGCCGGCTCCAAAAATTTTAATAGTAATGTGCACTTTACATGTTCATCCATGCCTAAATACTGCTATTTTCAATTGTTTAGTTGTCAGAAAAAAATGTTTTGTAGATCCCGATTGTGTAAGATATATAAATACCACTTTGTCTTATAAGGGTTGTAAATGATTTGATATTAAAATAAAATAGTATTACATTTTCTTACGGGTTTGAAACGACACGAGGGTGTGCAATTAATGACAGAATTTTCATTTTTGGGTGAACTAACCCTTTAAATACAATTTCAGTGAATTAGCTTGTTGTGTTGCTAGCTACTATCAAAAGGGAAGCTTGTAGCTTAACTACTTTTAATTAGTAGTAGTTTGTTGTTTGCAAGTTACAGTTTCAAATGAACTCCTCCAACTCAAGAAAAATCACACAATAAAGATCAAAAGAATACAGCAACATAAAAAGGAGAAGAAAACAACATACGAGGGTTTTTAACTAGCACAGAACAACACATAAATACAGAGGGGAAGCAGAAAACAGAAGCATCTAGTGTTGAAAATGATTTGCACTTTGAAACCAAGGTGAGAGAAAAATCAATTGTCAGAAAATAATAATAATAATAACAAATAATGATGCCGGTTACAAAGGCTGGATGGGCCTTTTTGGGATAAGATTCACACAAACCCATTTTGTATTGACTGGCACTAAATACTTTTCTCCCTACTTCCTTTTAGAGCTTTTTGTCTGTGGCCGACTGTGCTCTGGAGATTCAACACTCGCAGATAGCAGCATGACACACTGGATCCATAAAATGATTACTGATCTGAATAAACCCAGACATTTTTCAACACCTGGCTGCATTTATCTGTGTGTCATGTTGGAAACTGAATGAATAAGCAAATGAGTGACTGAATAAGCAAACAAGTGATTGAACAAATTACCGTTTGAATGAATGAACGAGTGAGTGAGTGAGTGAATGAATCAATGATTCAGTGCTATATTAAGGGAGTGATAGTGATACACTGAGTAAGGTAAACACAAAATGAATCAGTCAGTGAATGAGCAATGGAATCTGTGAATGAGTTATTTATCGATTTAGTGAATGATACACTGAACGAAGGAGCAAGTTCTAAATAAAACAGTCTGTGAGCGGGCAACTGAATGAGTGAATGAGAATTTTATATTGAGAAAAAGAGTGAAACATTGAATAAACCCATTGAATGAATCATTGATTCAGGATGTTACATTGAGTGATAGTGATACATTGAATAAGTGAATCACTAAATAGATCAGTGAGCAAACAACTGAATGAGTCATTAAATTAATCAGTCAATGAACGAGTAAATGAGTTGGTGAATGAGTTGTACATTAAGTGAGAGATACAGTACAGTGAAAAAAGAGCAAGATAGTGAATGAATGAATGAGCGAGTGAATGAATGAATCAATGATTCAGTGTGTTACACTGAGTGAGTGATAGTGATGCACTGAGCAAATAAATCATTATATGAATCAATCAGTGATCGAGTAACTCACTGTAAATGAGAGTTGTACATTAAGTAAGTCAAAGAGTGATACATTGAACGAATGTGTAAGTTGTGATACACTGAACAAATGTGTGAATAAATGATTAAATGCATGAACAAATCAACAAAATACATTGAGTACTGGATGTGAATTGCTAAAATGAATAGTCAGTGACGAGCAACTGAATGAATGAATTAGTTATATACTGAGTAAGTGAAAGAATGTGTGAGTTAGTGAATGAATGAGTGATAAAACTGAATAAGTGAGTGAGCCCTTTTTCGTGATGTGTATCTTCTCACTCGATCCATGTTTCACGCGACGGGAGTAAAAGAGCCTCACTAAAGGAGATAAATGCCTTCACTCATGCTTAATGGCAGGGAAATGTCAATGCATTGTCCAGGCCAGTGTCACCTTTAGTCACGCCTCATTTACATACCTCACAGATTTGGCCAATCAGAAGGAATCTCATGGAAAGGGCGCATGCTGATAGGCTATTGTATACATGACCGCTGAGGGATATTTACGCCCTGCTGCCTTCTAAAAGACTGTTATCGGGATTCATTAGTTAGCAAGCAGAGGTTTTCATTTGCGTTTCTCTGAACATTTAGACCAGGGCACTCAAGCTGTAAGGGCAGCCTGGAGCTGTCATGATCGCACTGTAGAATCCACCGATATTAAAAGCCTAAAGATTGTTAGCAAAAAGTGTGTCTGGAAATAGTGGTGTGAATGGCGCAGAAGAGGGGTGATTTAGCTCCTACAAAATGGCCCAATTACATGCACTTATAAAAGCAGAGATCACGGATACTAATTTAGCTTTTAGCTTTTGTGGTCCTTTCTGTTTCTACCAATTTTATTATTTTTCTCCATTCCCTTTTTTCACCGAATTACGTATGCTTTCTGAGTCCTTTTCTGAGGCAAGGGTTACAAAGGCAAGGATGAAAACATTACATATCATGTTAGACGAGGGTGACAGAGAGTCATCACTTAAAGGGATTTCAATTTTGAGTGATAGTGACGGCTGCGGTGGAAAAAACAACGGTTATTACATAAAAGGATCTTTAAAAAGAAATTGAAATAAGGTGTAATCAGTTAAAAAAAGGTTTCAGAAAGACTGATGGCGCCAGAATAAATATATTTCAAAGATGATAAAAGCTAACCAGCATGAAAAGAGACTGCTCCACTGCTAGCACGGACTCCAAGGTTGTGTTTAACATATTTACCACTTACCAGCGCTACATGAGAACCATTAATGGATATGGAATGTGTCTGATGAACTCACTGTCAGAGAAGGAGTGCTCAATAAATTAATTCTGGTACTTTTGCTAAAAAAAACGCAGCAGCTGGAATTTAATAAAAATGGGGAAGAACTTTAATACGATCATTGTCAAACTTTATATGATGCTTAGCAGATGCTACACTCTCAGACAAAAAAGGCTGTCACTGGGATGGTAGCTTTTCAAAAGGTACTAATATGTACAATTTAGGTACAAATACGTACCTTTAAGGTAGTAAAATGCACCCTTCAGGAGTAAATAATGTAATAAGGTGTACCTTAAAGGGTACCTTCTCAGTGACAGCATCTGACCCTTTTTTTCTGAGAGTGTATAAAGGTTTGTTCGTGTTATTATGTCACATTATGAGATATATAATGTCACATTGTGAGACAATTACAGTTTCTAGAAAAAAGTCAACAATGTGACATATATCCATTGCAATCTGCGAAAAAAGTCACATTGTGAAATATAAAGGGATTCAATTGCAGAAAAGTCACAATTTTGCAGGAAATACAAGAAAAACGGTTGCAGTTACAAGATAATAAAGCCCTATTGTGAGATATAAAGTTGCAATTTTCAGTAAGTTACAATTTTAATTATAAGAATTAAAGTCTATATTGCGAGAAATGGACATAAACAGAATCAAATGAAGTCAGTTATTAGAATTAGTCATATTGAGACATATAAAGTCAAATCAAAATGTACAAATAAATCAAAATAAACCAAAATTAAATTTCATCTATGTGATCACTGATAACTATAAGATGAATTAAATGTTAAGCATTGTATAAGGCAATTAAGTTTTATAATAAGTTTAATATAAGAAAGTCTTACTGTGAAATATAAAGACACAACTGCAAGTAGTCAACATTTTTATGTATAAAGTGACAAACTCGCAATTAAATATGTAAAACGTCTCGGTTACGTATGGTAACCTTCGTTCCCTGAAGGAGGGAACGGAGACGTCACGTCGGATGACCGACGAAATTGGGATCTCGCTTAGAGAGACCAATCTACTTCGAGTGTAAACTAAACGAGCCAATGCACATTGGCATGCGATTATTGCATCCAGCTGCCGCTGATCACAGCGAAGACGTAACGTCAAGTTTGCCACGCAACGTCGTCTTTAAAAAGACCCACCCGAAATTGCTCTTTTAGGGGAAAAAGCTCTTTTAGCGTGCTGAGGCGCACAGGGGAGATGATTGGAGATGAAGTTGCAAATACAATAACTGAAGTCTCTTTTGCATGGAATTGTCACAATTATGAGAAATAAAATTGTAATTTTGAAATATAAAGTTGCAATAAAATATCAATTGTCAGATGTAAAGTTGTTTTTGTTGTTGTTTACGTTGCTTAAACAAAATAAAATATCCTGTGTATCCCAGCAATATCTTCAAGTCTTCTAGCTAATCTTCTTAAGTAATGTGTGCCAGCATATTAAAATAATGATGCCAAAACAACTTTGTTTGAACACTTGAAATGATGTTATTTTTATGGGGCTTTTAAAAGATCTGCTAATGACTGCCAGTGAAGCAGTGTCTGCGCTCACCTCGAGTTCCATTGAAGAAGAGCGTTTGTCTGCGTGGGTTCTGGATGACCACGATTGAGCCGTCATAGTTCTGGAGACGACAGGAGATCTGTGCTGTCCCCCCCTCCAGCACGGTCACGTTCTCAGCCTGCACGGCCTGCCCCCGCGCTGAAAGAAAGAGGGCTTAGAGAGTTAATGCAGAACTCTCATTTTGTGAAATGAATCATTTATGAAGATATTTTTTGATGGACAGAAGGAGACAAAATGGCACATGGAGCAATTTTGAAGATAGAAATACCTCCGTGACCAATTAACACCTCGCTCACGTAACTACCTTTGTGCTTAGAAGCGTGAACTATGCAGAAGAGGAGAGACCGAGTGAGTGAAAAAAGGAAAATAATGAGAGACTGACAGATAGAGAGAGACAGCGAGAGGGAGAAAAAGAAAGAAAAGGGTCCTAATTAAGTGCTGGTAAGACCAATAGCATCGTTATCTTTATCCATTACTGTGGGCTGACACACTTCTCTCTTCCATCTGCTCGGTCTGACATCCAGCTCGTGAAAGCGCCAGTAATGGCGGCTTTTTTTCGGGAATGAACTCGGATCAGTCATACGCAGGGAACACAGAACATCTAATGGCACTTTCACTGCTAAATCTAACACCATGCCTTAGTTGAACGTAACATCTACTGCATGTTCTGGGTGACGCTCAAGTATTGTTGATGTTTATTTTAGCACAATATAGAGGAGGTTGGACATGAGGTCATCACAGCTGGCCCGTGCGAGCATGCTGCTGGAACCTTCAGCACATCATTAGCCGTGGTCTTCGTGGAGAGCCTGTCTCCGGTGGACTGTAATGATTCACAACCCTGACACCAAGGCACCTCATTCTTCACCAGAACAGACTCGATCTGATGACATCACAGCAGATCACTAGGGTAAAACTGTCACAGCTGCTGATTCGCTGAGACCTGTCTCCTCCATCGCTCTACTCACCTTGCTAGGACAAGATGTCTGACATGCTCAAACTGACATGTTACAGACATGCTGTATATAGCTTGAGCTTGGAACAGTTGATGGAGTATTGTGTAGGTGACTCATTTCACACTATAATAATAATAATAATGTGGAGAAAGTGAAGGGTGTTTCATCTATAGGCACTTATGTTCCAAAGGTTGTGCTTTTTTTCCTCTTCTTGTTATATAAACATCGTGTTAAAACTGTCTTGCAAACTTTTCCTATTCAAATCTCCAATTTCTAATTTGTTTATGCAGGAGGGACAACTGTCCTTCAGTGCCATTTCCAACAATTTTGCCACTAGTAAAGTTAGTGTACTTGTCTATTATGCGAAAATATCAATTTATACTCAAATTACAACTGTCCCTCTGTGTCATTTCCACCATAACCAACAATTTTGCCACTGGAAAAGTTAGTGAACTTGTTTTTTAAAGGGGACCTATTATGCAAAATTCACTTTTGCATGGTGTTTGGACATAAATGTGTGTTGGCAGTGTGTGTACACAACCACCCTATAATGATAAAAATCCACCCACTCCTTTTTTTTAAAATCCCCATAAATCATAAACAGTGTCTCCCAACTACCTGTTTTCCGACTTGGTGCTAATGTGACGTCACATTAGCCACAGGCCCCGCCCACAAATGTTGACAGACACTGCCGTTTTAACATAGAACCGCCCTGAGTGAGTTCACAGCGAGTTGTACACAGTCCGCCATTGCTGCACTGACGAGAATGTCTCCCAAGTGTTTCAGGTGTTCTGTAGCTGGATGTATGAATCCACATAGCTCTCTCCTTACTCCCGAAATCTGAGCCGCTGAAGACAAGGTGGATTAATTTTGCTTTTCGAAGAAAATGCTAGTGATGGCGAAGTGAAGCGTTCTGAAGTAGCGAAGCTTTCAACACAATTGTATCGGAAAAAGGTTCATTACTCGAAGCTTTTTAAAACGGTTTATGCTATATAACACCTTCCAAAGTGTTATGTTCCGTTACAGTCAGTGGTTTCACATGTGGTTCTACAACTGATTCTTTGTTTTATTATATTTTATATAAATAATGGTCATTGTCAAAGTCATTCATTTGTGTTGGTGTACTGGCACTAAAATAAGTAAAATAAATAAAACATAAATTCATAAATTAAATCTATGATCTGTTTATTTTAACTCTGCCTCAGTCCAGACTGTTATTTCATGGCCAAAGTTCATTTTTGAGCTCAATATATAAATTACGATTTAAAAAAATAAACAAACAATGCTAACACATTATAATGTAATATAATGTAAAGGCAACGGCGCCGAGGTTCGCTTCGTTTGAACCAGATACTGAAGCAGTCACGTGGTTTCGGTGAAGCTTCGGACGTCATAGATCACGTGCTTTTCTCAAAACGAATCATTAATGTCACCGTGTTTTTTACAATCCACTTGTGCCTGTGTCTTTTGCGTGGTGTAGTCATGAGATGCTAGTTCAAATTTAAAAAATGCTTCTACAAAAAAAGTTTCATCTGCAGATATGGCCTTGTTTAGGGATCTGTGCCTTTGTGCATACGGACATCTGACTGCTAAGTAGTGGTTGTGCTTTTCAGCAATAGTGTGCACCCTTAATTTATAGAGAAAAGAAGGTCAGGGAAAAATCTGTAGATGGAAAAAATCTCATACAAGTTCTTTATGCATTTAAATTTTTTTCTACTTGTTACTTTGCACTTTTTGTTAGAAAATGTTTATTTACTATTTATTCAAGTTTTTTAAGGTATCTAATATTTTGATACTTAATTTCCATGTGTAATTCATAAAGTGCATTTTTTATGCACAGTACAATCAGATAACTGACTTTTAAACCGAGTGCGTTTTCTGTAAAGATAACAGACTTGTACTAATAGTGGAGTGTTTATTTGCAAAGGCTAGCACCGGTATGGACCCTTTTCACAAGACTGTGATGACGCGTTTAATGGTCATCAGCATCGTAACACACACACACACACACATCTTGTAAAAGGGGCATGATAGGTCACCTTTAAGGAGACAACAGTGTCAGTAAAGAGCTTCAGATAAAACATGACAGAAAATAAATGAATATAACAAATGGTTAAATATCAAATGTGAACAAGGTTTAATATGTGTCATTTCCAATCAAGCCACAGTTTTATCAAATTATGCAAATAGTTTGAAATATTGGTAACACTTTATTTTAAGGACCAATTTTCACTGTTAACTAGTTGCTTATTAGCATGCATATTACTAGCATATTGGCTTGTTTATTAGTACTTATAAAGCACATATTAATGCCTTATTCTGCATGACCATATTTTAGATCCTTTAACCCTACCCCATACCAAAACTTAACAACTACCTTACTAACTATTAATAAGCAGCAAATTAGGAGTTTGTTCAGGGAAAACTCTTGGTTAATAGTGATTCTAAAGTATTACCAAAATATTTAATTGTGTGTTTATGCTACATAAAATACTTAATAGCTATGAAATTAGCCTTAACAAGGGTTGGCAATTTTATTCCAAAAATGTTCAAAATATTATTTCCACCACAGTGGAATGCATGCATCAATGCACTTGAGATGTGGTGGAAATGACAGCGTGATGAAAATTCATGACTTTTCTTGACTTTCTTCTGCAATGCATCTTTATCCAATGTTGTACCATTGCAAGTCTACAAATTAGCAAAAATGAAACTTTTTTCCTTTCAAAGTTAAAAGTTGAAGTCAAGATTGCTTCCAAACATTTCATCAGGACATCCTGGTTATAGACCAGAGGCAAAACATCTCTTAGAGGAACGATTAGGATTATTATGGAGTTTTTGCTGAAAAGAGACAAAAGACAAAAGTTCAGGAGGGAAACATAGGAGAGTCTATAAAGGCGCTAGATGGCCTTCGTCACCCATTGGCCCACTCGTCTGGCTTTATTTAAATTTAATCCTGTCAAGCTCTATCCATCTCCGAGTACCCTTGTCTTAAATTCAGCGTGGAGGGAGAGCGGGTAAATAAAACATTGACAGGTGAGGTATTGAGCTGAAATCAGGAGGCGAGAACAGGGAAGAAAATGAGAGACAGTGACTGAGGACGTCCTGGAATTTTGCACAATTGCCATTGTAATTGTAGCCATTATTATTTCTGTCCTCCGCATCAATATTGTGATTCATATCACGACAATCGGCACCGCCATTGCTATCCCAATTATTATTCTAATGACTGTTATTACTCAGCACTCGGGCGTCCGCAGACTTGGCCGCCATTGTTTTAATGGCTCCTAATTGTTCCAACAGCACTATACATCAAGAGAAGGTTTGTGAATGCATGGGAGGCAATTAAAACCCTAATTCAAACCTAACAGAACTCAAACAAGTGTGGCCAAATTCCCAACAAAAGTAGCTAAATGTGTTTGATTGAGAAGTCAAACAAAACACGGATAATTGAGCATCCGTTAAATGCACTCTGCCGCACGCCAGCTGTCTCCTCTTCATGTAAATGACCGAAATGAAGGGACGAGAACAGGAAAACAAATGGCACGGAGGGAGGGGAGCATGCCGTGGTGCCAATACAGCATTTGAGAAACTTGCCAACTCGTTGACGGGGGTGGAAAGACACCGAGAGAGATGTAGAGGCAGGCACAGGGCAGGAGAAAGACAGCTGCGGGTTCATTCGCAGCTCTCAGGAAAATAGCGGAGGGGCGGTCGAGTCCGCTACACAAGCTTGAGCAATACAACTTGCGTGGGAGTTGTTTGCAGTCGTATCTGCATTGTGGGCATGGAAGTTTATGAGCTCCGACAGCAGGGCGAAAACAACAAGAAACTGCAGATGGATTCATCTTGACCCTATTACAATCAAACCATAATAAAATACACATGCTCACAATTGGATTAGGTGTGAAAGTGAAGAGATCGATAACAGGCCGGTGTACTGATGCTATGAGAAGCAAATAAATAAAGTATGTTGGCGGAGTGGTGGGACATGGAGAAGAACTTAAGGATTTGGCCAGATGAGGGCGATGTATCAATACACACAAATTGTACAAATCCTTATCCTGAAGAAACATAGGTAGAATGAGCAAATAAATAAACAATATGAATTATTAAATAAAAGAGTAAATAAATAAATAAAATACATCTAAATAAATAGAAAATATAAAAAGGCCATATCATGGCAGT